CGTGAAGCTGTGGTTAATTGCTCAAACTGTTTAAGTCCTATATTGACATGATCTTTCCTGTGCATAGTAAACCTACACTAGCAACATGACCATGAGCAGCTGTATATTTGTTTCTCAGTCTAYACCATAAAAGCAATGGCTCTTAAAGCAAGGAAATGTGTGATTTGTTTTGTGAAAAATGCTGGTGTTCCATTTTGCTTTTGTTCTAGTGATTTTTAAAAAATCACAGTTTGACTAAATTCAAAGTTATTCCTTTAAAGGTTAAAAATGATCCTCTAAATTTTATCCTTAACAATTTTTTGAAGTAATTCAAGATAAACTTTTTGTTTAATGGAAAATTTTAAATTCACTTGACAAACTAATCAATTCCCATTACTTTTATTTTAAATAAAATTATTTGGTTATTAAAGATTATTTTTGTATTTTGCCTTCCACGGGTGAAATTTTTTATACAATTTCTCATGGTCCTTGGATATATGTTTGCAGTCKCAAAATGAATTGAACAAATTTAAGTAGCAGATTTGGGGTTTAACTGGAAGTTGGAGGCCGAGAACTGCATTTTGAATTTAAAATATAGCCCATGAAAAGTTATATCTTTACTGATACTTTTAAAAAGTGGCAGCTAGTCATTTCTCCTGTGAATCTCCTGTAAAACTTGATGGAACTGTGAAATCTTCTCTTCAGGAGAAGAAGCGGCGGAGGGGGAAAACCCAAAACTATTTAATGTCTAATAGTTTGAGCTATGTGAATGGAAAAATTAAATCATTTTTGGAATTATTTGAGAAAAACAGTATGGTAAATATTTTGACTGAGTTTTAATGTTCTTTATTTTAATTACATACAATATATTCTTTTTAGGGTGATTCTGGTGGACCTTTATCATGTCAAAGCAACGCTAATGGAAAATGGTTTTTGACTGGCATTGTTAGTTGGGGTTATGGATGCGGAAGACCAAATTTCCCTGGTGTCTACACAAGAGTGTCAAACTTTGCTCCATGGATTCACAAATATGTGCCTTCGATATTGTAATTTGAAAGGTGCTTTATGCTGGAGTAAAACATGTCCTAGATATCTTTATTAAAATTCATATTTGATAAAACTCCTGTTGGTGGAATTTATTTGCATGTCTCACAGATGATGCAGTGTTCGATGGTGTTTCTTGTTGTTTTTTTGTTTGTTTTTTTGAATACGCGGTGTTAAAACAATAAGTAATCCTTATTTGCAAACCTAGAAGAAAGAASGATCAGAGGAGAAATTTGATCTTGTGATTGTCTGTGGACATAGCAATAGTCCACAGATTGGAGGAATGAATATCTAGCACTGTGTTTTTGTTCATTTTTCCAGACACCAACAGTGTGTATTTGCAACCATCCATCAGAAAAACCTAGACACAATTGTCAGTGCTTCAGTAACTCAGATGTACCTTCACAGGTGTTRGTAGCAGTACGGTGGCAACCAAAGGTGTCCTTCAGCTCCTTCAGCCCTTTTGTCAAGCCTACTTCCCCTGCCTTCTCCAGCAACAACAGCTGACATGGAGAAAGGGAAAGGAAAGCTGTCGAGACACATTTCTGATGTAGAAAAAGAATGTGCCTCTCTCCTACAGGCCAACAGCTTCTAAGCAGCTGGAACAACTTTTCATACAATGCTATTAGCTTGTTGAGTATGGAGAAAGGAGCACTTGACTCTTTCTCTGAATTGGCTTCTAAAAAATCACCTATAGGCATCCTAGGAAGAACAAATAYCAAGTTGAAGGAGTATAAGCTAAAGTGGACTGTGACCTGAAGAGACTGGAAAAATCCACAAACCACAAACTCTTCATGCTTCATTCCCTCTCCAATATTCCCTGTTGAGTGACTGTTGCCTTAAAGGCAACCTCAGAGGATTATAGGAATAGATTGCTTGTAGATAGTTTGTCTCTAGTACAGTCCCAGTAGGTTGTTCACTTGCAGGCTTCTTTCACCAGCACAGATGGAAAGTAATAGTTACTACCACAAGCAATTGTATCTAAATTGGTCTCAAATTTTAGCTCTTGACATGTTCATTTATACCATGGGTTTGTTTGCTCATTTTTCCAGGATGAGGTAAGTCGCTAAAGTTGTGATGACTAATGATGTTTTGGTTGAAACACTGTGTATGTTTCATGATATGAAACTTGGTGAGATTGCATGAAGCCTAAACTAACTTCTACGAGTTTAGTGAACATAACTGTTCAAAGCAAGGCCTTCATATAACTGCCTAAAGGGAATGTTTTTATTTTTCCCTGCCTGTTTTCACATGATATTTGAGAGAGACAAGAGGGAGTGGATGGAGGTTCCTTCTAAGAAGATAAAATATATCAGTTTTATAGTAGGTAGAAAATGAGGTTTTCAGCTAAACTTGGCATTCATGCATTTTTTTGGAAATCAAAGACTGTCCTGCAAAAACAGAGCTATAACATTCTCTAAACCACAGCCAGAGATATCTTTTAACCTCAGATGTAAGATGAAAATCTCAGATGTAAGATTGAAATTCATTACAGTAAGTGAAATTTGTATAGTGTAATAATTAAGTTCATTTGCAGGTTTCACCACTTCAATCACAAAGATTTGTTTGAGTTTCTTTTCAAGATTTAGATTACATTGTGACATGGTAACTGAATGAGAATATCTTTCTAGAAGTCCTTCTCTCAATTTTACTTCTATGAGTTAGAAGAAAACTTATTTTATGACAAGAGACAATTTATTTCTTGACAGACATGTATAGATATGTATATTAGACTTGCTGAAATTAATGCCTGCTCTTTTAAGACTGCATTCTCTGAAGTATTCTTTAAAGGAGAAATTCTGGTGACACTATTGTATTAGAAATCCCAGTCTTAAAGTTCTTATGACGCAATATAGCAGTTTACCTTAAACTTCTGAAATCTGCAAGGCCCTCAGTTTTGGAGACTAAAAGCTCTGCAGATAAGTATGGAATAAAGAAATAGTCCTAATATTTCTCTAATTTCTATTTTAATTAACAATATGGTTTGGAGTATTTCTCACTCTTATTTCCTGCCCCAATATTCAAGATTAGTTGTAGTTAGTTCCCCTGAGAAATTGAATTCCTTATCTGCTCTTAACCTTAACAAACCAGATAAATATGGTGCTGTGCGTTGCAATGATCTTATCTTTATCTGCATAAAACTGGTATCTCCTCCCTCTGACAACTGTTACAGAATTAGTCTTTCTGGATGTACATTGTTTAAAAAAAAATAATTWAAAAAAAAAGTCACACTTAACTCTTAGAGTAGATACCAAAGAGGTTTTGTCTACTCTAGGCTTTTATGGGAGTTTCTTTCCCCTGAAAGAAGGGGRAAAGTAGCAGTCAATCAGTATGTTGTGTGTGGAGTGGATAGAGGCTGTTGAATAAAGAGGAGGACTTGAACAAAGCAATCTGTCTACAGCTGGATCCTGCGTTCCTGAGCCGTGAGGATTGTCTTCCACTGAATCCCTTTGTAGTCCATGTGATCTGCACTTGATTGGGGTTGATTTGGTCCCTCCTTGTTTTTTTGCTGCTGAAGCAAAAAACTACTTGTTTATTCTGGTTTTAGATAGGTGTGTATGTGTACCTGTATATATCTGTACACACACACACACGTGTGTGTGCATATATATGTGTGTATAAATACATATACACATAATTTTTCTCACCCTAATTTTTCTTACTTAATGTGCAGAATTCTCTGAAGTTGTTAGCTTGAAACTGCTTTAAACTTGAAATGGAAATTATCAATTTTAATTATTTTGCTATTCTGCTAGTTCTCTGATACAAGTTTGTGGCCACCATACTTACTACTGGAAAAATCATTCAATATTGTGTGTTTGCTTTTCTTTTTTAAAAAAAGCAAACACTAAAGATTCTTTCAGGTTTTCATTAGAAGTCTCCTTGTTTACCTTGTGTGACGGATACGTTCCTTTCCCAGCTCATCCTGGCCTGTWCCTTACATGCAGCCCTGTTTTGTTGCTGACCACCAGCGACCGATCTAATTCTGGCAGGCGCCATCGTCCTGATTTCTGTTCTCACTGAGACTTAACAAAAACAGTCCTCAAGGCTGTGTCGTAAACAGGGAGATAAGGCCGACACACTAACCTAAGTCTTTGAAGTTAAAAATATGACTACAAGCCAATCATCTTATTYCATAAATACTCGGACAGCCTGAGAGCCCCTTTGAGCTCTCCTGACATGGCTGCGGCCTGCACACCAGGATCTCCCCTTGGGCAGGGACGCCTCTCAAGGTTACTCCTCGAGGTTCCTCGAGAGATCTTCCTTTCCACCGCAGATTTGTGGTAAGTGAATATAGCGCGCGCGCTTTCTTTCTTTCTTCCTTGCTTGCTCTCTCTCTCTCTCTCTCTCTCTCTCTTTAACTTTACTTTGTAACATAAGCACCCTCAGTCATAAACCGTTGACCAGGTCTGGGACTAGGATTGGATCCAGCCGCACCCAGACTCCTCTCAGAAGGAGCCTGGAAAGCAAGGGGGTCCAATCTGAACCTCGTGACCCAACGGGAGGGTATCCCAAGATAATCTTGTATTATCTTGTGCCTCCATGYAGTGAATAATAASTGACCTTGCCAWAGAATCTCGTKAAATCATTGTCCATATTAATAAATCCTGTTATTATTTCTTTCATATGAGTGAAGTGCATTTGTCGCTCACCCCCGCCACCACTCATTCCGTGACACCTTGTTCTAGGCTTTTTCATTTATAATTTGCTTGCATATAATTTGCAAAAGTGGCCAAAATATCTCCCTCTCTTGCATATCTGAGGCAGGGGAAGGGTAACTGATCTTCTTTTAAGTTATGAGGTCCGTATCTTCTTTAGCCAGTTAGGAAAACAAAGAGTTACAGTGATGGTGACTTTGCTCCACCACCTCTTTGATCGCAGCTCAGCTGGCTCCACTTTAAGCATTACAGCAAAGGTGAAATGAGAGAAGCCCGGGGGTGGACAGAGGAGGGGAGAAGACCATGTTCTTCTGGGTCATGCTTGAGGAACACAGTTCATCTAGGATTTTGTTAGTAGCCTTGTCTGAAGACATTTGTTGGGACATCATGATACGGGCTGTCCCCTCCAGAAATGTTTCTGTGTATAGCATACCAGYTCCTTCCCACCCTGAGCAGGCAGCYGGGCAGGTAAGAGACAAGCACTTTACAGCAGAAACACAGAACGTGATCGCAGTCTGCACTCCATGTGCAAATTGCTTCTACATGAAGCGACAGTGTTTTTTTTCTTTCTCATATAACTTAAAATGCATATCACAAATGAATGACCTAGAAATACATGTGTTTCACATGTGATAAAGCTCGGGAATATGGAATATGTATCTTAATTTTTAAAGAGGTTTAAACTGTGAAGACAATTGTATTGAAACATGCTACTCTTCTGCCTTAGGAAAGTCCACATCTTCACTGCTGTCAGCCTTACCCAGAAGGTGTGTGTCAGAAGTATCTTTTTCTCAAATGGACAAGCTTGCATTCCTGGAAAAGGTGGTTTCTAGGAGTATTGTCTGTGATTTCTTTAATAGTTACAGCAATYGTGCTGGTCCTGCAGTATGCATTCGGTAAGTTTCTGAGCATGGTGTGCATGGGACGGATATTTTGCACTATGTGAATGGTTTAGCACAGTAAGCTCTGCTAAGCAGTTAAGTACATAATGGATATATAAACTACTCTCCCTTCTTAATGCCCTTGCTAAGAAAATAAAATGCACAGTGATTAGCATTTGACGGTTGAATATGGAAGGTATATCTAGTGTCTCTCTTTTTTTGTCTCTTCCTGTGAATGCTTTTATTATCTGTAATATTTCTCAAGAATGTATTGGAACTGTCCTTCTTATTCACTTTTTCAAAACAGAATGGWTACTTAACTTTTAAGTGCTTCTTCCTAAGACTCAACTCATAGTCTTTAAAATCCTGCCTTTCAAGGAAAGAAAACAGAAAGGAAGCTTAACAATTAAAACCTATTAATAGAAATGTCAATGCATTTCTTGTACCTCATTCATTTCCAAATAGCTTATTCTTCTGGGCATTGTCCTAGCAGTGGAATTTACTCAGCACTCTCAATATTATTTAGCGTTTCTTTTAAAAGCTAATGCCTGCTGACACCAAGGTCAAATACACGCTTCTGCAAACCTCTGGTTCTGGTATGTTACGATGCATGCTAATTCCTGGTCTTCTTTTTTTTTTTTTTTTTTCCTTTTTTTCCTCAGCGCCACCTTTTTCTGTTATGTATATTGGTGGAAGTGTAGAAATCCCTAATTTGACATATACAAACGACCTCTCTAATCCAAAGTCACAGAAATTCCTACAGCAAGCAGAAACAATACAAAATTCGGTAAGTTCCCACATAAATATAGCAAGAATTTAGAAGTATTAATTGCAAATTCAGATTGGGATTGAGGAGATAGCTCTAGTTTAAGTCCTAACTTTTTTCTTTTTTTTTTTCCCCAGAATAATAAATGTAAAGCTAGCAAGTAGCTGGGAGGCACTTAATTCATCATGTAACTTTGGGATTGTAGCTACACAGCTGTAGCTGAGTCTCACAGAAAGGTCAAGGTTTTCCATAAAAACTGTGAATTTTATGGTTATTCTCACTGAAAGAGCTAGGACTATGTTTTTTTGGTTTGGTTTGTTTTACTTTGTTCACTCTTCTCTGCTAGATTATTCTCTTGGATCTGGGATTTTTATTTACAGTTTAAATTCAATGCATAAGCTTTTGTTTTGTTTTACTCCCCCAGCAATACCTGCTTTCTTGTATTTCTCATCTCCATATTGGTGAGATCAGTACTGTTTCCTGCATAGAGGTGAACAGAAGTCTTAAATACAAAGCACTTAGCCCATATTTCATAACAGACCTAGTCTTCTGTCTTAAAGCTGCTTTGTACATGGTGAAAACAAGCTGTCCATGTCTAGATTATGTGCCAGAAATTTGCCTCAAAGTATATGAAGACTATAATAATAATAATATAGATCTATTTATGAGCACTTTCTCGGCTAATTATCAGAAGCCATAAACATAATGTGATTTTGAAAAAAAATAAGGAAAATATATACACATTTATCAATATCTGACATTCTTCGAAAATGATTGGTGATGTTTATAAAATATGGGTAGGGATACAGGGAAAGAAATAGTACAATTGATACTAAAACATAACTCTACATTTCTTTTTGCAATTATTTGACTGTCAGTTTGCAGAGTTATACAAGTCTTCCACTTTGGGAAAGTATTACTTGAAGTCTGTAGTGGCTGCTTTCAGGTAGGTTCATTTCAAGCATGTAATTTAAATTTGAATTATTGAATTTAGGCCCATCTTTTTAGTGTATTATAAAGCAGTTATTTAAGAGAATCTTTATCTAGTCCTGATTTTGAAACCACAATTGAGTAGCATTTTTTTCTGTACCACTCGGCAGTAACTTGCTTTGGTTTGTCTATTTAAATTTCCCTTTTAACTTCTCAAAGTAACATTCAGAAGTATAATTTGGGGTTGGGCCGTAGTTTTAGGTTCCTGATAAGAAATCTAAATACAATGAGCAGATGGCTATTCCTGTCATAAAAAGCCCTGAAAACTTCTGAAAGATCAGTCCATAGGTCATGTTGAACGGAGGAGTGTGATGGACTGTCTCCTTGAATCAATTCAAAACTACTTTATATATGTAACAGAAAACCTTTTTTATCTCAACAGAAACAGTCTGAAATATTCTGCTATCAAACTATGGGCTTAAAACTGTGCTATCATATCTTGTGAAGCTTTAAATTAGTAAAAAGTCTATGAAATGCTGTTTTCTATCTCATTGTGCTTTTTGAAAATATGTCTACTGTTTAGAAAAACTAGTTTTGAAATAGGAGATATTTTTGCTCCCGTGTTCAGCTGCAATTCCCTGAACAGCAGTTCAGCTGTCTATTGAACTGTAGAAACCAAAAATATAGACGTGTCTGTTAATTAGAGTGCATTTGTGATATGGGTTTTTTCTTCCACAGTGAAGGAGAGTCTGGACTTCGAGCTTACTACTGGGATACATTCAGGGCACCACAAGATGTGGTTGATTCTCTTAAACTAACCTCAGAGCAACAAAAATCGATTGCTAGTAACAAAGCCCCTCACAAGTTCAGCTCTGGAGAGGAAGATTTTGATTTCATGTCAATAGAGCTTTTCGGTAACCATGTACCTGTCATTTAATACCTCTTCTGTCTATTTTCATTTTCCAGTTTGTGCTTTTGACTTGTGTAGCTGACAGTTATTAAATTTCAGTTTCAGATTCCACAGAATATGATGTGATGCTAAAATCAGGTAATTATTCTACAATTTCAATGAATATCACTCTAAGGCCATGCACGGCCTAGACTCCCTATAATGACTGTGATGAAAATGCCTTATCGCTTTTATATTTTACCTTGAATGGCTGAAATTGAATGGTTCCTATTATTTTTCAGTGAGAAATATATCTCCTTTCTGTGGCATCTTAAAAAAAAAGAAATGCCAGTATATAAAATCATACATGGACTATTTGCCTTGTGGCTAGAGAGTTGTGGTTGTTAGTAGTTAGTGAAATACTGTAGAATTTCAGCTTATTTAGATTTCTCATATTGAGTACATCTCAAAATTGTAGTCACATACTAAGTATTTTCATTGCATGGAGAGGGGTAAAGTGAAAATGATAGAGCTGGTATCAGCTGTAGCCAAGTTCACTTCTTGTTGAGCATKTGATGAGCCCATAGTGGTAGGGAGGTGTTGTGCCACCTCATCCAAAGCAGGAGGAAGAGGAGGCACTTGATCTTACAGGGAGAAGTCAGCAGAGCTAACAAGAATAAGATCATCAAGAAGTAGATTAATAGGTAGGAGGTTATTGCCACACTATCTGAAGTTTTTCCCACTGATTTTTTTATTTAACTGACATTTATTCAGCCACTGACCTAACTTCTTCTGTATAGCAGTATCCTTCGACCTGTATGCAAAGCCAGATAGCAACAGGACTCTAACTCTGATGAATCTCAAGAAGTCTTTTTATCAGTGGAGGCTGCGAGTTCCTTCTAACTATGTGGTGAGACTGGTGGTTACTACTTTGCATGSTATCACTCCAGGAAGCTGTGCTTCACACCAGTTGTCAGCATATGATTTCCTTCTTCCTCTGCAGAACAAGATCATTACAAGGTAGGATAGTACAGGGGAAAAAAAAAAAGTTTTACCAAGTTGTAAAGAAATTCTGAAAATCTAGTGTACAAAATTGATATCTAACAGGGTTTCAACATTTAGGGGATTCCAAATAAAATTTAAATAAAAATATTTTATAAGGCAGCAAAGAGATATTCCATCTTATTTCCTCCTGCAATGAATTATGAATTCCTATGCTTTTACTACTGATTTTTCTGCTTTATTTGATTTCATACAGGTACTGTTACAATTCAAAAAGATATGAATTTGAATTTTGATTTTTCCATTACCACTAGAAAAGATGTTTCAAAATGGAAAGTCACAGACAAATCACTGTGGCAACTCTGTCTACAGAAAACTCACTCCTCAGGGTTCTTGTCCAGACTTTCATCTCTCTCCTTAGGCAACAAGGTCATTAGGCTTTCTTGGTGATGACATTGTCAAAGGTCAGGGTTGGAGTGAAGACGATGTCTGTTCTTCATGATGCACAGGAATTTCTGTGTGTTGTCTGTGTTCTCTTAACAAAGGAAATTTTTTTTTTTCCAGAAATTGTATGTGAACACTACACTGTTTTAACCAAATCAAAGGTATATCTCATATGACTATGAGGCTAAATATTTTCCAGGGTAAAATTGCAATCTTTATTAAATGACCTAAAGGAGAATTGCCATTAATTACCTTGAGAAGGCAGTCTGTGGGAGGTTCTTACCCACCTCACTTCCCAGCGTTCAGTCCTCGGATCACAAATTGTGCTTCAAATCATTATCACAATTTTGTTTAGACTGGAGTAATAAAGCATTCCACTACAAATACTGAGGAACGAATGAACTGAGATTGAGAAATACCATAAGACAAGATGTCTCATGCAGATAGCTCTTCTCATATATACTTGTCTTGCTTTTCTGATGATACTGTGGCAAAAGCTACAGTTAGAAGATAAGGCTCCCAGCTGGGTGAACAGAAGATAGAAGTGCTGAAATATCTCTACATGGCAGTGGAGAGAGGATTCAGATTGTTCATTTTATATAAGGTTTGACYGGTGTCACAATAAAAGGATACTATAATGACTAAAGAATACATGGCAATTCACAAATCCTTACTTAATGTGTCTTAAAGTGGGAACAGGGAGTAGCCTGCAGAAAGCTTAAGAGGACTACTTTGAGTCAAAGATTTAAAAATTATGTTTAATACTGCAACTGCTGCAACTCAGTGGCAAGAGGTAACAGTGTCAAAGGACTTGATGCAGTGCTGTGATGAAAATGCACTGWTAGTTACTACATAGTCAGATCTTAATTGTTTTCATTTGCTGTGCACAGAAGTAAAGAAAACTCTTAGAGATTTTTCACACACAGGTTTGTAAATTGAAAGATTTGTAAATGAAAAAAATATTCAAATTATGTTGTGGATTTCAAAGTGCAATGGGTATAAGAATTTATTTACACATGCAAGAAACAGTATCTCAAAATACAAGAGATAATAAGTTTTCATGCTCCAGATCATAAGCAGCTCATTGTTTAAACAAAAGAAGATGAAATACATGCTGTGGATGGGGTTCCCCATGTTCTCTTGTTCTTGAYAGCTTGTTCTGACAGCTTCTGCTGCCAGCTACATGAAACCCATGTGAATGCTAACAGATAGCAAATGTTTTGGGCTAGTTGTGTTACACAGATGATCTGCAGCATGTATAGGGGATAGCTCCGTGCTATCCCCTACTTAAGATTTAAGTAGCCTCATCTAGCCCTGCCTTTCCAATATTTGTATAGGCCTGGAAAATTCCGAGTACTTGTTAGGCAGAATATCCGTAATGTTCATCCCGAACAACTCAGCTCTGAGACTGTGAGACTCTAACTAGCATCTTGGGTAGTATCAATTGTTTTAAATAATAAAAGGGAAATGTTAGTCAGAGGAATACTTGTGAAATGGAGATGACCAGATCAGTGTCATTTCAGCCCAATTTCTCATATCCTCTGACTGGAATATGGGAAATATCATCTAATGCAAAGTTTGTGATATTTCAGATGGTGTGAGCCTGGGGCTTGGACTTCTCCTGTTGTACGTTTAACTTCATCAAGTAATGTAATGTTGCTTACCTTTTCACTGGACCGAAGAGAAGCAAGGAACATACTAATAGCTCACTTTCAAGCCATTCCTAAAATCCGTAAGTGATGAATGGAAACAAGCCTGATGTAAGCRTACATGCTCTTCCTGTTGCCTCAAAAAAAGTTAATATTGGAGGAAAATCCGCTTAAAAGATATGTCAGAAAACTCAATAATTATTGTCATTGTCTTTGTCAGAACTTCTCTTTTCTGGATGACTGCCCATAGCCATCTTTCCCAGAGACTGCTCTCACTGCATAGGTAACCCCATTATCCACGAGTATTAGCAGCAAAGCAGCGAGTCAGATTTTTGGCACATATCCAGCCCCACTCTAGGTAGCCCCAGTCACAGAGCAGCGCTTGTATCACGTTTGGCAATCTCCCTCAAGCTCAGGGATGACATATTTCATGAAAATTGAGTAACAGGGTAAAAAGTTGCTTTTAAGTCTTTGATCACCTTCTTAAAGGAACTGCACAATTTAACTGACCTCAAGAAATCAAGCAGATTCAGGACCAAAGTGGTATTACCCACACTTCTTCGGTAAGGTTCATTTGTTTCTCCTCTAAGGGGAAAATTGATAAAATGAAGAAATTTTTAACCTGTGAAACAAATCATAAAAGATAGCTTATAGAAAAAAAACCTTTTTTTTAAAATTTGCACATTTCATTGTATGCCTTTATGAATGCTGTTTAAGAAAACGTCATGCACGTTACAAATTAAATTTCTTTCAGTCTGAGAATTGGTACTTAGAACCCTGAAAAGTCAAGTTTTGATATAAAACATATAGCAAATTATTCAGAATTGTTATTACTTGAATTTCATGTTTGCATCTACTGTCTTATCTAAAAGAAAGCAAAAGCAGTAAGTACTGGATGTCTAGGAGAGTTCTTGATAAAAATAAAGCCCCAAAGAAAACTGGCCCAAATGTGATATGCATTTTCAGATTAAGAATTGACACACAGATTTCCTGTTTTGCATAAATTCATGGATTTCACTCTATTGGGTGTGGTTTCACTCCATTATGGAGAGAGAACCTACTGCAATTCTAAGTTTTTTTTTTTTTTTCTCTTTTTTAACTTTCACTTCCCCCCCTCCCCATTTACTGTAAAAGAAGGGTTTTCCTCATGTTTGATCCAAAACTTCAGAGTGATGGGGAAGTAGGAGTTCCTCTGCTTCTCTGTTACTATAGGGCAAAACTGAGTTTAATAGTGTCATGACTCTTCTAACCCTGTATGTAGGGAAGGAGCCTGGCAAGTGAAATGAGCTTTCCAGTTTAGCGCAGTGGAGATAACTGTGTTTTTTGCTGATATATTTCTCTCCCAGTGTGTGGCGGGCATTTTATCTCCTGGAATGGGACACTGAGTTCCCCTTATTACCCAAGTTACTACCCACCAAACATTGACTGCAGTTGGATCATCCAAGTAAGTCCGGGGAACTCTTAGGAGTAGTGGTGCTGTGTAAGTGATTTGTTTTATGTGGGATTAAAGCAAACCTGGGAGAAATGATCTTTCAGTGCGGGGGAAAAAAGAGGTGGGAAGCATACTGAGACCCCTGCACCAAACCCGTTCTCAGGTGCTCTGTTTYCCTCCTGTTTTATTCCAAAGGCAAGTGATAAGGAAGGACTACCAGCCTCTAAAAGACAGTATTATTCATGACACAAAGCACGTGCYGGATGTGATGACAGTTGCTAACAGCCTAGTGAGTGATTAATAGCCAYGGCTTTACTTCTGTGGTAGAAGGGAGAAAATGGAGACATATTGGGTCTCCTAATGTATCATTGCAAAGGCTGAGGGAGCTGGGCCTGTTCAGCCTGGAGAAGAGAAGGCTGAGGGGGGACCTGATCAGCGTGTATAAATACCTCAAGGGAGGGAGGGAGGAGGAGGGGCCGGCCTCTTTTCAGTGGTGGACAGTGACAGGACTAGAGGAAACGGCCATAAGCTGAGGCACCAAAAGTTCCACAGGAACTTGAGAAAACACTTTTTGACAGTGAGGGTGACAGAGCCCTGGCACAGGCTGCCCAGGGAGGTTGTGGAGTCTCCTTCTYTGGAGATCTTTAAAACCCACTTGGACACAGCCCTGTGCCACGTGCTCTGGGTGACCCTGCGTGTGCAGGGGGCTTGGACTAGATGGCCTCTGAGGTCCCTTCCAACCTTGAGCATTCTAGGATTCTATGCTCAATCTCCCTGAACTCAGCAAAACCAGGAGWTTTTTCTGGCTCAGAAATTCAGCTCTGAGTTTCTGGCAAGTCCTTGGCTGCTGGAAACCAGCTTTCATCTGGAATCCTGTTTATGGCTGTCACCAGCTTTCTGYGTGTTTGCCTGCTCCTCTGTTAAACATTTCACTGCTTTTTTGACTTTCCTTGGAAAAAGGAATGTCAATGAGAGATTTCTTTAATGTCTTTGAGAGTGCAGCAGTCTCTACCTTTTACCTGCTCAATTAAAATTATTAGCAGTTTACAAGCTTCATCTAACTATTATCTCTATACAGGAATGCAAAGAAAGGCTTTCTAAAATATAGCGCTCACCCTTCCAGTGCATGAACGGCTACTGCAGTTTTGTGGCCATCTGCCTTAGGTGTCTTAAAACATTTCTGTGATCTACCACTTGGCAGCACAGGTATAGCATGAATCTAGGATATGGTGCTTTGGGCTGGCTGCAGGAAGCTCTTATGCTCCTTTACCTGTCACAGTCTGCCAAGAWAAGGGAATATCTAAAAATATTTCTATACACATTTGAAATAGCAAAGTTTTTGGACTTCACGGGTGATGCTTCACATCATAAAAATGAAGTATTTTGAATCTGATAATCAGTAAAATAAGTTTTACCACATCAGGAGCATTTTGTGGTTGTGTGTGGTGGGATATTTATCCTTTCACTTCTAGGCACCGTTGCCTGGCTACAAGCTGTCCTTAAAAATCCTCACAATACAAATTCAAGAGAAGTCTCCAGGGTCCAGTAAATGTGATAAGGACTGGTTAGAAATTGATGGAATTAGGTGAGTCAAATATGCAATTTTCTGACATATTATCTTGTGCTTTGTCTTTCTGCACCACATACTATCCTTAAAAAATGTCTCATCAATTGCTGTCCAGAATGATGCATTTCAGCGAACAAAATGTCATAGATTCACCAAATTTCAGCAGAATAATATTCTTAATCTTGCTTTAGTAGCAAACATTTGTCATTAGCTTAACCATCCTGCTTTTTTTCTCCAGTGATAAATATTTCTTTTGTTGCTTTGCTTAAGTGCAACAATATGGAAGACTGCAGGATTTTATACAGCTGCTGTGGAGCTTTGAATTCCTGGTTCTGAATAGCTTTTGCCACCTGAAGTTTTCTGTTTTAACAAGCAACTGATACAGAAGTTGTAATGGTTTTCAGGAAACAGGACAATTGGCAATGTGTATAAAAAGAAATATTCAGAGTGATTTGTCTCTAGAAAGGAGCATATGGAAGTTGGTGACTGACTGTTGGGTGTGTGACATAATTGCTGGATTTTAAACCTGTTGATTAACCCAAATCAGAGTTTTCTAAATCCAAATAGGAAGTCTGAAATCAAGTGCTTAGAAGTGATTTGTATTTAATTGCTCAATTGTGATATGGATCCTCTTTTGCTGTTTTTTTTTTTTCTTTTTTTTTTTTTTTTTAACGAGTCTGTTAGCCCCAGAAAAGTTGCTGAGTTGGAAGATTGGGAAGTGCAGGAAGGGAGGATGGCAGTGGAGAACTTTTGTAACTAAGCTTTCTAATACTTCTGTTAAAGCTGGAAACTTTTTACACTAAGAATAGCCTGTCTTTGTTCTAGTGCTTTAGAGCTTTTTGGCATTGGTACCCTGCAGTAATAGAATGGGTGGCTGAGTGGCAATGGTCCCTTTTATTAGAAATTAATTGTGTGTGTGTGTGTKTTTTTTTTTCTTGACAGATACTGCAAAACTATTTCAGGAAGCAACAGAAATAAAGAATATGACTATTCAGTTGCAATCAACTTCCATTCTGATGAACTTGTCACCCACAGAGGGTTTTATATTGAATACAAAGCTTTCAGTCACACAGACTGTAAGTGAATCTGCATGTACTTTCATTTCTAAGGACACTTGAGAAATCACGTTTAAGGGCCTTGAGAAATAAACCAGACACATACRTACCGACATGCCTTTTTTTCTTAAACTACTTTTAAGACAGGGATGTTTTGAATTTAACTGATTAAATACTAAATAAATCATTAAATACTAGATAAGTCATACTTATGGAAGGTAGTAATTTGTTTCTCGCTTTTCACAAACCTTCTGTAAGATGGGAAATAAAAATGATATTTACCAATTTTGGCAGATCTAATTACTGGACAGTGTGCCAATATTTTAAAAATATTTCTAAGTATTTGCAATTGGCATAGCCAATTTTTAGCCAGGGTCTAAATAGSACTCTTTCAGCAGACAGGAATTAAGTTTAATAATCTTTTTAAATTCAGAACTCGTCATACTCTGAATCAGCTTCCAGTTTGATTCAAAAGCAAGTTTCCAGGTGTGTCCATAGTTAGCTATCTAAGTTGTCATTAATAGACAATGAGATTCTTGGCCAGGATGTGTTGCATTTCCTACTGCTACAGCCCCTTGTCTGGCTCCCTAATCTCCACACTTCTGGAATAGCAGATGTTTTGGGGTTGAAAGAGTAGCTGTGTTGGCTTTCAGAAAATGCATACATTGCCTTGTAATATCTTTCTTAGAAAATACTTGTCTGCAGTATATTCTTTGCATGTCTTCATTAATTTCCAGATACATTCTCTTTCTGTTTCTAGCCTTACTAACTTCCTTTTCCCAATTATCTGATAGGCAGCTGAAATTCTACAAGACTTTGAGATGAGATCTGTTTGTGAAATTTCCTCACATCCCCAGGTCATTTGACTGAGTGTAATTTTGCATGTAAAAAAGTATATATACTTTTATYTATATCTACTCTAAAGTCTCTGGTAGAAATTAGTGCTTCTTCATGTCTTCTTTCAGAAATAAGTGATAGCTTTCATGACTCACTGTGACAGATTTTGTGGCAAGAAGCTACCATTTATGCAGCATTGTATGCCATAGAGTGTAAAGAGCTTTTGACACTGTCTCCTATAACAGCATCCTCAGGTGAATTGAGAAGTGATGAAGCTGCCTGGCCCAGAATGTTGCCATCAGTGGCATCTGGAAGGCAGTCACAAATAATATCCCCAAGGAGTCAAAACTGGGGCCATTACTGTTTAACCTCTTCCTTATGGACCTGGACAATTGGACAGTGTAGGCTCAGAGATTTTTGCAGATGGTGCAAAACTGGAGGATTTTTATGATATACCAGAYGGCTTTCCTGTTGTTAGAGGGGCTCCAGTGCACTGGAGAATGGGCAAGACAAGAACCTCTTAAAGTTCAATGAAGGGAAATGCCAAGTTGTCTATCTGGGAAAGGAATAACCTCAGGCAGCAGCACACACTCGGGGTCAATCAGCTGGACAGCAGCTTTGCAAATGAACGCGGGGATCCCAGTGGACAAGTTGAATCAAGTTTGCCAATGCACCTGCTGGCAAAGAAGATCAGTTGTATCTTGTGCTACATTAGGAGAAGTCTTGCTAGAATGTGGAGGGAGGTGATTTTTCTCTTCTCAGTTGTGAATTTGCCTTTGCTCTTAGGGAGGAAGAACTTTTAAGTTGACTTAACCTGGGTAAAAATATGACCTTTTTGGCCTGCTTATTCTTTCATGTGCTTATCTGCATGTAGAAGCCAGTTCTGGGGCTTGATTTTTGCTGGAAAATCTGAAGAAAGGAAAAATGTTTTTCATGGATTTCAAAGAAGTACCTTAGAATCAAGATTATTTTAATCTTTTTATTTTAAGTGGATGCTTAAGAAATTTCTAAGTAACAGGCTGTTACATAATGGAATTACTAGATTTGAAAACTATTTTATAAATAATTTGTTTACCTTTAAAATGCAGAAGCTCAAGTACAGTAACACAGAGATGAGTTTGTAAATCATTTTAGTGTTGGATAATTTGTATCTGTAATACTCAGGAAAATTCCCAAGTGTATGTGGGTTTTTTTGTTGTTGTTTCTGAGGTTACTTAAGTGTAAAATATATGTTAACAAACCAGAGAAGCTTTCTCTAAGGAGTGATTATGCATCTGTGTTGACTCATTTTCAACCCTTTGAGTTAGGCAGTTCTTGTGAATTTAGATTTCTAAGTCCTTTTAAGTGCATGTTGATTCATTTAATTCCTACTGCCTTCTTTGGCAGATGATGTCAAGACATCATTTGCTTTTTTAACATTTAGTTGAGTTCACAAACGACAGTGGCCTTGGTTTTTAATAGCCTTTTTAATGCTCCTGCTTGACAGTTCTGTTTCAATGGGCAATTTGATCTGTGAAAGCTTTTCTATTGCCATTGTTTTAAGTCTTTTATCTTTCTAGCTTGTTCTYGACAATTTAAATGTGCAGATAGAACCTGCATTCCTTCAAGCAAACCAATGCAATGGCTGGAAAGACTGCTTAGATGGTAGTGATGAGTTAGACTGTGGTAAGTCAATTACTTCTCTTGTTTGTATCCTTCTGTTATCATTTTATTCTAGGATTGTTTCTTGCTGAAACAATCTCTAAGTATTGGTGGCTATCTTTAAGAACACGGGAAGATGTGGGTGAAAAACTAGAAATTGGAAGAATAGACCATGAAATGTGTATCTTTGGAAGCTGGAGAACACAGAAAGAGAAGGGAGTTTTAGACTGATCTTCTTCTTAGAAAAAAAAATAGTCAAACCAAAATATTTGTAAATATCAAATTTTAAGAAAAATGTTAGGAAATTTCATTCTAGAGAATGATTTTCCATGACAAAGACATCTTTATTGTTGATATCTGTTATGGGATATTTTATTATTTCTGGTAGTGATCCAAGTGACAGAATATGGTACATGCTTAAAAAATAGAAAAGATGGTACAAAACAGGAAGAGAGATGAATGGATCATGGTAAACTGGAGATATCAAGAGGGGAAAAAATAATACGCTATCAATAGAGATCCAAGCAGGCAATCAAACTGATGGATTGCCTAAATCACTTTTCTGATAAAAAATGACATGGTGGTGGGTCCCAGAAGCTTACTGAGAGTTACAGAACCATGAAAAATCAAAAAGCTAAATGTCACACTAGGATATAAAACAGGAGTTTGAAAGGATCTTCCCAGAAAAAGCGGGAAGGCCTCAGCAAGAATATTGTAACCCCATTAACCCACACACTGTTACTGGATGCCATTAAAAGCAAGGTAGACTCATGTCTACCATAGATGTCACACTAATAGATGTCAAGGTGGCCTATGGACTATGTAGAGCTGTTTGTGGCTGTGAGTCAACTGTTTGGATTATAAGGCATTTACAGCCCTTTGCTCCTCAGATTGTAATCCAGAGCAACTAACTGTGGCAATGGGAAGTGTAAACTTCAGTTTAAGACTTGCAAAGGTGATGACAGCTGTGGGGAGGACAGTGATGAAAGTGATTGTTGTAAGTTTATGTGTTAGTAAAGTTTCTAAGAGATGGAGAAGGCAGAGCAGGAATATGCGTGTTTTCATGCTACTGGATAAACTATCTTAAATCTGTAATTTTTCCAGTAGACATGCTGATTATAAATTCAGTGGAATTCACTTTATATTAAAAAAAATGCACATAAAATGAGTTTTTTGGTTTGCTTGTTTCCCCTTCAAAAAAAAAAAAAAAAAAAACTTTCTTTGTACAATACAAAAAATACAGTAACAGTCTGTTAACTTGTCAAAAAAGACTTCAACTAGCACTTTCTAGCTGTAAGGGCCACCCCATGCCATCTGTCTCCTCTTACAAAAGGAAATAGATATCTTTCAAGAGTGTGTTTGTTTTCTGGGTGTTCTACCTGCCTGATTAAGCATGCAAACCAGTTAGTGTGAACATAATAATAATAAATATAATATAATAATAAATATATATATATATATTTATTTATATAATTATTTTATATATATTATATATATATATTATATATTTTTATATAATTATATATATATATATAATATAATATTATATATATATATATATAATATTATATATATAATATTATATATATATAATATATAATATAATAATAAAGATACAGCTTCCATGAATTCTTTGGGTTTTCATGCCACTAGTTATGATCAGTTTGGAGAACTATAAGAAAAACAGTATCTCTAAAGGGATTAGTAATCCAATTAGATACATCATTAAAATCTAGTAGCTAGTTTTCTAAATTAAAGAATGAAAAAAATGAAAGAATGCATTTCTAACTACCTGCAGCTACTGTTTAGCTTTCAGTTATTCACTGTGCTGTTTAGCAGAAAATATGATTCACAACTTGTCACAACTTGTCCTCAGATCTTGGGACAAAACATGTGCTCAACTGCTGTTCTCTTAATAACGAACAATGACTTGCRTAAAATCCCACTCTAGTTGAACGTTTCTACCATTGTTGTACAGATTCCTGTACAACATCAAACATGAAAAGTAACCACATRGATTTGCTGGCATTATAAGCAAATCCCCAGAGACTTCCTGCAAATGACTCAAAAAGGTCACATTATAGATTTTTCAATAATGTGTTGAGTCCTGCTGACTAAGTACTATCTAATTTGTAGGAGGACTTTTGAAATGCAGTTCTCTTGTGATATGGACCCTTAGTGTGAGTCACTCTGCTTCATGCAAGCTATTCTCATGTAGTGAATGAGAACCTATCTGAACTGCTACTGAATTGTGCACTCCTAGGTATTTTTTTTTCATTGCACAAAATGCATATTTCTTAATAGTGGGGAAAAAAAAGGAAGAAGGAAAAAAGTTCAAAGTATAACTAGTGCTTGTGAAAGAAATTAATGAAGCAAAATTTGCGATAAGAGTGAATTTAGTTAGATGACCTAACCACAGTTTGTGGGTGATCTTGTAAGAAGAAAAATTTTCCCCTTACTGTTACAGAATCTAATGTAATGACAAGAGACCTAATGATTTTAGGACTCTTGCGTCTTGCTAAATGCATGGTCTCTGGCACTGCTAGGAACACTGCTGGCACTACATCTCAGTGATTTTGAGCCCCAAAACACTTGCCTTGCTTTGTATGCTACGCCCTTGAGGTAGATGGCAGCATGTCCTTGTTTGTCAAAAAAGTACCTACCATTTTTTGAAGATGGCTGTAAACAACCTATAATATGTGTCAACAAAAATGGATGCACAATGCTGAGGTCTGTCAGGATTTCCATGTAGTAAATCGTGAAYTTCTTACCTGAAGACATCTTGGAGGAAACTTTCAAGCCCTTGAATGATTTGCTGAAATTCCTTTAAAAAACAAAGCCTAACTGTTGAAGTTCATCTGTTGTGTAGATGTATAATTTGTAACACCAGTAGCACTGCTGATAGAGGTAAAATAATGGACTTGACATGTCTAGACCTTTCAGCTTAAGCTCAGTACAAATGGAGTAGAGGGTAGTTGGAAGCTCTGTTCTCTATTTTTATGATGATGGAGGCTTAAGTTACTGTGATCATTAACTAGAGTGAAACGTGTTCTCTACTGAGAGACCGGTTTACACCAGCATGAAATATGACTTGAGACAAACTGGAGCATGTGGTTTTGAACAGCTTGTGCCACATCCTTGTTCGCTGAAGAGTAGGTTGAATAGGCAAAGTTTCTTTAGTCACTAGAAACCATGACTCCAAACACGTGACGTGGTATCTTCTCTCTCTCTCTCTTGTTTCAGCCTACAAAAATTGCTCCSCTTATGCTTACAAGTGCCTCAATGGAAAATGCCTGCTGAAGCCGAATCCTGAGTGTGATGGAATACACGATTGTGCAGATGGATCTGATGAAACAAACTGTGGTGTGGTAACAGTGGTAGCTAATGATATGGGAAATAACACAGTGGGTGATGGAACCACATTAGCGGATCAAGAATTGATTAAGTCAGATGTGATTTTTAAAAACGAGAATTTACTGGTAACAACTGTATGAAAATGTCTGACTTGGAATTTTTCAGTGTCTCATTTTAAACCCAATGATTCCTTGTGTCTGATTTATTTCCAATAATGCTTGCTTTAGAGTTGTTAAGCACTTGCTTGAGCTGAATAAAAAACAAATAGCCAAGGAACTGCATGTAAGGAGTGAAAGGATGTAAGATTTTAAGTAATCCTTTAGAAGCAACCCAGTTTAGCAGTGTGTTTGATTGTATTTTTGAATTACAAACCTCTTTATTAAGCTATAAAAGAGGATGAGCAATCATTTGGGAGCTTACCAGTCCATTGAGTGAAAAAGGGCAAGTATCCTTATCTTTTTTTTTTTCCAGTTGCATAGTAAGAAAGTACTGTTGTTGTTGTTATTTTTCGCCATGGCTTTGAGGTGTGATAAAAGTAAGTTTATATTTTAGGCATAACGATGTAAAATAATTTCATATTTTTCTTTACAATTTTATTCAATTATTCTATTCAATATTTGATTGATAATTTTATTCAGTTATTCTATTCATATATTCATTATTCTATTTCTGTTAGCTTGTGGAAGACAGTGGTTCAAGAAAAATAGAATTGTTGGAGGTGAAGAAGCAAGATCTGGAAAGTGGCCTTGGCAAGCAAGCTTACAGATGGGAACACATGGCCATGTGTGTGGTGCCTCTGTTATTTCAAACAAATGGCTCATATCTGCTGCTCATTGCTTTCTGGATTCTGATTCTGTAAGGTATGGACAGGCTACACTATCTTAGGGTACCTGCAATTTAATAACCTTGCAGTGTTGCTTGCAAGATTTTGTAGTAGCAATGTCTTGATTAAGGGTATAACTCTGTGACATGATACTACTATGTAAGCCTTGAATATTGTATTCTACAGTCTTAAGAAGGAAGGATTTGCTAGTTAAATTTTAAAAAGCAAAGATTTCAAGAGGAGAATCTGTGGCCTTTTCTTGCCAAGAAAAGTTTGTTGAAGAGTGGAGTGTGATATGCTTTATGTGTGAGAAGGAAGAAATGGATGATTTTGAGTTTGATAATACATTTTTTTTTCTGACTTCCAAAGCATGATGTTTACATTCTGATGTACATACAAAAACATGCATTTCAATTTCAATAATAGTATTCTAATTAAAAGGTAGATGGTTAGATTATGATAAGTTCTGTGTTAAGACATTGGACAAGATTTACAGTTCAACTTTTGTGGCTTTTGTTGAAGGCAACCTGGTACTCTAAATTATGTAACGTGTTTGCATGTGGTCAAATGAGAATGASTATTTTTTTTTTTTTTTTTGTCAAACACATCACAATTTTCCTGATGTAATATGATTTCAGTTTCAGTAAAGTGATTGACCATAAGATTTTGAGTTGATGGAGAAAGTTTTATATGTCTGCAGTTACATCAAGGCAAAAGAGAGATTCTTATGTTAATGCATTAGTTTCTTACTTGATAGTAGCACTGGTGTGCTGCATGAAGTAGAGGAGAAGACGTYAATGTCCAAGAGAAATTAGCTATACTAAATAAAGTATGTTGGTATGTTGGAGATACAGCAATACAGTGCTTGTGTGAAGGATATAATCTAGTTTTTTTTACAGTACAAAAGGACTTGCACARATGATTTTCTTGAGCTGTAAATACATCCCACTTCTATTGAACTGTAAATGCATTTCTCTTATCAGAGCAGAGTATCCCCAGGTGAACTGAGTAGATACTCTCTCTCTTTTCTCTAGACTATGTATATGAAAACCAGAAAACCTATTATTTTTCAGTGCTATATATCCCAATCCATCATGGTTTAACTTCAGTGCTGCTATCTGAAGTGTAGCAGTTTTGCTCCTGAAATGAGTCTGGTTACAAAGCTGCAGTTAGAAAGYTTTTGGAATGATCAACCATTCCTACAATAATTACAGTCTTGCTTTTAGGACTGTAAGTTTTTGAAGACTGCAGTGACATGCAGAAATAGGGTATCTTCATATATTATATACCTGCTTAGCAAGTGTAATTACCAAATACGCACAAATATGTACCGAATACAAAAGTAATTTTATACTAAAAAACTATGTTACTTAGCACAGATGTGACTAAGACCCTGAAGACCCACTGCTAGTGTGGGAAGAACATGAGCCATTGAGGCATCTATGTCAGAGCAGCCAATCCTGCTTGGCCTGTTTCTTGGCTCATGAAAGTCAACAACAGTGCTGGCCCTTACCCAAGGCAAATGGGACATCAGTTCTACTTGAAAGCTCAAGCCACAYGAATCACTGATCTCTGAGAAACCCACTGTTGGACACCCAGTCTGGTTCTGCTTCACCCAATACCTCTGGCTGAATGTCAGAATAGAGGATTTAGCTTTACCCTTATAAAGTGTAAAGCTTTTCAACCTGGCTAAAATTTGACCTAAGCCTATTTTTGTACCGTGGCATTCTGGTAAATCAGTCACGGATGCTTTTTGTGCCAACAGAAAACCATACAGTAGACTTGAGCCATGAGCTTTAGCTCCATAATTACAATAACATAGCCTGTTTCATTCTGCTTGCATTATACGTTTATGGAACCCAGCTCTGGAAGTATTGTGGAGAGCTTTTCTTTGTGTGAAGATGGATCAAACTGACCATTCCAAGGAACTGATTTTTATATATTCCAAGAGACTATTTCTTTTAAAATTATATGTGAAGTCATAATGTTTTAGTGGAAAGAATCTGTAGTGTTCATAAACAGTGTTCTACACTRTTAAATTTGTGATGATTTTCATCAAATACTGAATAATGCTTAAAACTAAATGAAGCAATATTGGATTACTTTTCAATGGGATGTTGTAAACCGGTTYTCTTCACAGATACTCTGTTCCTTCTGGATGGAGAGCATATATGGGCTTACACACCATTAATGAAAACAGCAATCATGTAGCTATGAGATCAGTCAAGAAGATCATTATCCACCCGCAATATGACCGATATATCTCAGATTATGACATTGCATTATTGGAAATGGAGACACCRGTATTCTTCAATGAACTGGTACAGCCCATTTGTTTACCCAGCACCTCTAGAGTATTTGTTTATGGAACTGTCTGCTATGTAACTGGCTGGGGAGCCATAAAGGAAAACWGTATGTTCTTTTCCTGCATATATTTCTTGCAAGCTTGGCTTAATTTCAAMTTCTAACAATGGAATAATTATAGTCACAAAAGAAAATACCTGTGATTTACTTAGTAGTTCTTTAAAAAGCTATAAAATATCTTCCTAGTCTGTGAGTTCTGAATGTTTGCTTGTATAGCAGGTGTGTGAATATGCATCCTCTGTATGGGGATCAAGGATGTTCTTGCATGACATGGAAGAGCAAATAATCATATATTTACGAAAAGGTGTTCTCTTTTATGCTCAAGGCCCACTTTGCCTGGGGAATAGATTGTTAGTAATCTTGCATGTGAAAAAACAGGACATTCAAACTAATGCAAGGAAAGACTTCATGGTTAAGAACACAGTTTGACAATAGGAGGGCTTCTGCAGAAATAACTGCAAAAAATGTGAAGTTTGTTTAGTTTTTATTTGTCTTATTCAAAGGCAGTATTCCTTATGAAATATTCTGCCTGCACATCTTGGACCAGCCAGCTACTGTGGGGAGTGGAAGTGGATAGAGGAGGCAGATTTGGAGGAGTGCAGTGAGAGAGCCCACAGATTCCTCATCCCTATTGCTGCATCAAACCCAAGCCAGATTTTAGACTTGGGTATAGATAGCTCCCCAGAATTGCAGTGGTCCCCACAACTGCCCCGAGTCCTGATTGCTCATGTTTGATCAGAAGCCRACTGCCATGGTAACAATGACTTTCTTAATAAAACTTTTTAATAGAAAATTCCGATATAAAATAATCTCATAATATAATAAGGTTCAAATACCTTTAAAAATGATAGTCTTGCTTTTTTATAAAAAAAATGCATATATGTAAACTTGTTGTTATGATATGTAAAAACGCCTATATTTTCATCTAGCCCATTTCATCCCCATTCTCCTCCTCCCAAACCCTAATGCCCAACYAATCTGTTCCCCTGAACATTCAGGTACTGAGAGATTATATTGATTATATTGAGATTAATTTACTGATAGATCAAAACGTAAGTCGGGATATTTAGCTCACAATGATTACTTGTACCCATAAAATAGTACAGGATCAACCCCCTATCATCATTTGCGACTTGCACTTTTTTTTAGTGGTGGTGGTGGTTTTCACCTCTCAGCTTCATTCCTCAGTTCCTTCTTTAGAACATGGGGGGTTGGGAGAGAATGCCAACACTTCCTTTACTAGGACTTGGACAGTGTTTGGATCAAAACTATAGAAGAACAAAAAGCTTAGGGCACAATTTGAAACTTTTGGGCATTCAAAACTAGTTAGATTGTATAAAATCTCACAATATATTCACAGCTTGTGTGGCTCTTCTGACTGGCAGAACCAGCTAATGAGGATAAAGACAAGTAGAAAGTCAATCATGGTAGTGCATGGGGACCTCTGTGTTAGAAATGGCACGRACTGCAGTCTCTAAAGCTGAGGACAGGCAGCATTTGTAGGGAGAGGAATTACTCTTCTGCCATTAGCTGGATGCATCTTGAGTTCGTAGCCATTCTCCTCTGTTTCAACAAATGGTTTCTCTGTTAGAAATATTAACTTCTATAACCTCTGCAACACTTATATTTTTCTAGGTCATCTTGCCAAAACGCTGCAGGAAGCTAGAGTGAAAATAATTAACCAAAGTGTTTGTAACAGACTGTATGATGATCTGATCACATCACGTATGCTATGTGCCGGGAATCTTAATGGTGGCATTGACGCGTGCCAGGTAATCAGGGACTTGTGAAGAAATTATGAAAGAATGTTTGCTTTTTGTTTGGAAAATTTTCCATGGTTTAGATCTTGTTTTGTTTTCCTCCTCTCAGTAATAAATTAAAGTGTCTTGAGTGTATGGCATATAAATTTCTCCAAAATAGGAAAGGACATTGGGCATAGAAAATGTCTGAATCTTGTAAAATGTTGATTTGCAAGGTATGGAGTAAAATGATTTGAACTGTTTTTTTTTTCTTCTTCAAAAGTTAAACAGATGTAAAGACAAAAGGAAATTAAGTRAGGAACATCTGCATTTCTTGATTTATTTCTTTTTGAGGGAGTTAATATAATGTGAAAACAATGTTAGGAATAGCATAGTTACAGTTGCAAAAAAATTCAGAATACAGAGTAAGCTAAATCCAGTAAAGACAGTTGAAATGCTGACTCAGTTTCATATATTCATGCGTGTATATTATAACAAGTCTTGATTACATCATTGTAGCACAAGTTATATGACCTAATTTGTTTGCACATGCAGCTAATAAGGAACTAATTTAGACATATTTAACTATCTTGCTTTTSCTTCTCTTTCCCAGTTGTTACTCTGGTGTCTGCTTTATCAGTATTTAAACTTACGTGACAATCTGCTTTCTATAGTAAAACAGAGGGTGACAGAGCCCTGGCACAGGCTGCCCAGGGAGGCTGTGGAGTCTCYTTCCCTGGAGATCTTCCAAACCCACCTGGATGCCGCCCTGTGCCCCATGCTCTGGGTGTCCCTGCTGGAGAAAGGGGTTGGACTAGATGATCTCTAGAGGTCCCTTCCAACCTCAACCAGTCTGTGATTCTGTGAATTACTTTTTAAAAGGAGAGAAATTTGTTACTGATTTTAGTTTGTGGTAATTTGTTAGAACTTTTATTTAAGAGTATTTTTTGCTGTTTTAATAGAACGATTTTTGCATTATAGCTCTAACAGGTGTAGTCTTCCAATACACAACAAAAGACAACTATAGGATCGTTCTGCAGTTTCCAAGATCAGATTCATGAGTTAGTATTTTTGTTAACATGTTGTTTGTATATAGGCCTTGGAATTGTTTTGTTAAGATGTGTGATATGCCTAAGACTTGATGTTCCTCCAAAAAATGTGTTGCCTCAGAAATGGCCTTAAGTTTTAAGATGGATATTTTAATGAGTTTGGCAAGGTATTCTACTAATCAATCTACTTTTTAACACCATCTGCTCTGTTCCWGTCCTTTGCATCTTGAACTTCTTAATCGTAATAGTGACTGTGCTATTTTTATCCCCCCTCTCTCTAGCATTCTTTCTGTATGGTGCTGTCTGCTGGTGACATTTTAGGAGATCCTCACGGTGCTCTAACTGCAGTCTCAGGGTTTTGGACATCCTCATTTGTTTCACTTCTTCATGGATATGAAAACTGTTCATGTAACTGCAGAGGTTTTGTGAAACTTCCAAGCACTTTTCGTCATTAGATGACGTGATACTTTCAGTAAGAAATGAAGCACGTGAACTTTCACACTCAATTTCCTTATTGCTCTGGTTTGTTCTTGACCTTGCATGGTTCCTTTTTTCAGGATTCCGCTTCTTGCTGCATAAAACTYCTCCAGTCTTTTAGAGCTTTCTGGCTGGCCAGAATATCCAGCCTCCTTTCTGAAGTCACCTTAAGAAGAGCTTTTTGGATGGTTAAGTTTAGCAATGCAGCAGCTGGGGAGAGAGGAGGAATTGTTGTGGCAGCTTTCCTTATCACTAGATAATTTTTGGGTAGGTGACAGAGACTTAATTTTTAATAGGTTCATGTGTTTCTTGTTCCTCTCCCATGTGTTAGCTTCAATTGGTGAGAACAAACAAATTCCAGACTCAGCCTAGAGGCTGCCTTATATACATAAGGAAAATCTGCAGAGAACAGCAGTATGTGTAAGTGTTCACAAGTCTGTGAACCCTTCCATTTACAGAAGGCATAGAAGGTTAAAGCAGTGACAGTCACAAAGCATTTGTGAACCCAAATGAATTTGGATTCATGTGAATTGAGATAAATATAATCTTTTGCTTTTCCGTGTTGTTATGTGCAGAGCTGCATGTTTCTTTTGAGAAGCCAGTGCATAATTCTGGACTCTTTTTTTCCTTTCCTCCAGTGAATCTAGCCACAATGTTGATTATGAAACTGCTAACAACATCTAATTATGCTTTAATTACGCCTTTTTGGTTTTTTTTTTGAGTGGAGGAGGGAGGGGTTGGTAGCAGACTTGAGCATAAGAAAGAGACACTTCTTTGTTTCCATTTTAATGTATAGTATAAGAGTACTCTCTTAAACATATGAACAACTTATGGCCAAATGATGACAGAGTTCCTACATTCCATCCCTCTCTCCTCCTTTTCCTCTTGGACTCTGTGATCAGATACTCTATGAATCCTTTAATGGGTCATGAGTAATTTTTTCCCCTTTTACCTTCTTGTCATTGCTTTATATTGATTAGTGTGCTGTTCTTGTGTGTTAAAACAAGCTGAACGAACTTAATATCTGTCCAGGGACACTTATTCTGGAAAAAAAGGTGCTAATATTACACTATAATTTGAGGAAGAGTGAAGCATGGATTTTTATAGTCCCTAAATAACCTRACACATGCGTTCCTGTCCTATGTGGGGGTGAGTGTGCTAACGGCTGAACTCTCTCCTTTATTTTAGGGCGATTCTGGAGGTCCTCTGGCTTGCACAGGAAAGGGAAATAGTTGGTACCTTGCGGGTGTCGTGAGCTGGGTTGAAGGCTGCGCTCGGCGCAGTCGCCCAGGAGTGTACACAAAGGTGATGGCACTTTATGACTGGATTCGTCAGAATGCAAACTGATGTGCCAGAGGGAAAATGTAGATCACCTTCCCTGTGGGAACTGCTTTCCACAACACGTTATCAAATACACCTYTGGCAGTATAACAAGAAAATGCCATTGGCTGTTTCTTTGTGGGAGGGAAAAAATGTACTTTTTTGACACGGAAATTGTTGTTTTCTGCTCACCTGGAAGTAACTGTTTGGATTCAGAACAACTTCGGATTCCTTACGGATTCATCTTCRCTATTCCCAGCAGCAGAAACAGTGCTGCCTTTAAAGAAATACAAAATAAGATGGATTAAAACCTGTAACAAAAATCCAACCAACCTTTCCTTTAGAAATCTTCTTCCTTCATTCCATTTGACATCTGCCCTTTCCTCCCTTCCTCTCCCCCATGTGTATATGTGTACATATGACATATATGAGGATATAAACATCCCGTATACAGTCACATATGTTCCCTTGATGACGTTACATAATTCTGAACATGAATAGTTCTTACCTGTTTTATTCAAAATATGAATACAATCATTATTCAAAATATGAGTACAATCAATGTAACTCACAAAACTGAAGTGAGTTCATTCTGTAGTGATGTTGCTATTGCATGAATTTTCCTTTCTGGTCTATGATTTTTGGATTGTCTCCTGTTATTTTCTAAAACCATAAAAAACCTAACTAWGTATGTTAAGGTGCAGGAAACATTCTTGAAAGGACTAGAAGAGCATCATTTAGTTTCTCTGGAATTATATTTAAGTAAGAGGAAGGAAATACTGAGTTTAAGGAAAGGGGAACTTGGAATTAATTGTAATAAATTGTATAAAGTAAATGTATTGAAAATTATGTACATTTTAATCAAATTCTAAAAATCTGACAAATTACTAATTCCACAATAGAATATCAAAAACTTGTGCAGCTCTCACATTCTGGTCTCCTTGTAGACTTTATGGACATATTCATCTGTGTGGCTAATTATGATAGTAATATCAGTAATATCAGTTAATTCTTTTCTTTGATATTAGACTTCAGTGAAATCACCCAAATCAGGTGCAGTTTCCTTATAAATAGAACTTGGAGGCAGATCGCAACAAGACGTCATTCATCATTCATCTTTAAACAAGTATGAGCTTGGTGCCTGAGTGATAATAGAAGACCAATGCCTTGGCGGTACCCTGCTATGGTGCTAGGAGCTTCATGTTCACCTGAATAAAGTAGAGATGTATGACTAGACCTGATATCTGTCTGCAATGTGTGACAAACGCATTTCTCAAGCTCCTGCTCTGGTGTTATGGACAGTCTCCTGATGGATTCCCACTGCTTTTCCTGGCGTCCTTGGTCGTCAGTGAGCAGCGTTTTAGGATCAGGGCTTTTCATCCAGTCTTCTTCCTTGTGCGGCCAGATGAACCCTTGATCTCAAAGAAAGTGTTGGAGAAAGTGACAGCCATGTCTCTGTCAGGATCACTCCTTTAACTCCTTTAACAGTAAATCCATCAATGGAAGAAATAATCTCCTGACAAGCTGATAGGTCCAAGCCTAGCTAATTTAAGGTTTCCCAAGACATTTATGAGATTTGAGATCAGCGGCGCTCAGTTTAATCGAATATCTGTCTGTGCTTCCTAGACAGTCTTAAACTTCTGCTCGGTGTTTGGAAGGATTTGTGTTTCACCTTTACAGTGGGAAAAAGAAACAGGCAACTTGAATATTACTCCTTGGTACCCATACATTTTTCTGTCCCAGTGATACCATGTGATATCAGTGATAAACATGTGATTCTTGCTTAGCTTYAGACCTACCTTTTAGCACAGCAYRTGGGGAAGGTGCTGGAATGAGTTACTTAYGGCACTTACATGCACACAGTGGGATTCCTGTGTCTGAGACTGATACTGCTCTTTCCTTTCTTGAGCTAGTGTTGGGTAGTTTCCCCTGAAAAATGCTTGTGTCAAGCTTACAAATACTGTGTGAGCTATACTCAAATGATATTCTTTGGGTATTTTAGTATCTCTAAAGATGACTCAATGATTCCTTTCTTCCTTTCTAATAAATATGCTAAATAAGCAAATGGCTACATATTATTCATTGCATTGTGCCTCTGAAACTCCTAATTCCTAGGAGTGWTCAGAACTACATGTTAACTTCTGAGTTTTTTCTTTTTGTAAAGCTGTAAAGCAAAACAAGGTTTGCTCATTTTACTAAAATGCTCATTTAAGGTTTGTTTCTGTTCCTGGTGTTGAAACCAGAGAAGTCTTTATAACAGAAGAAAACAATTTTCCTGATGAACTGCTCTGGATACGAGCATAGACCAGAAAGTTCAGATCAGTTCTCAGCTTGCCTTTTTTTTTTTTTTTTAAACAGCTTCTCAGTTCCATGTGTGAGAAGTCTATTAGTTTACATTCAAGGAAGGCATCACATGTAGATCTCAATTCAGGCCAGACCAAGTTCAAGTGTTTGTACGGTTAATCAGGGTTAAAGTAAATGGACTTTGGCTTTTGCTGGGTGTGGATCTATAAACATTAACTCATTTGACTTAGAAAAAGTYCTTTGGTTTCAGATAGTTCAATAGGAAGGCAAGGCAATAGGAAGGTAAGCTCTGTCACTAAGAGGGGGAATAGAATGAATGGAGTTCATCCCCAGCAGGAGTACCGAAACTCAGCAGGTAGACTCTTCTAGTGAAGATTTTTCCCAAGTAAAGTCCTGAGGATCCACAGAACCATTATGATCTTGATGACTGCTTTTCATGCTTAGTCCTCCGGACTTTTGAGGATCCTCTCAAACTGAAGGTGGGACACAGAATTTGTGTTTCTTTTTATTKGTGGAATGAAGGCAAGCCCTGTGCTCAGCTTTTTGGAGTGCCTTTGCCTTGATGACTGTTACCTGGGTCAGGAATCTGTATACCAGGGGAATGGCCAGGCACTGGTAGCCAGAGGTGCTTCACAACAAGAAAATAGTGGTGATGGGTGTAGGGCAGGTGTGAGTGGGGAAGTGTCCTTGGTGCTTGGCAGGAAGAAGGAATAGCGCTGAGAGGGGATGTTCAGTTGGCTGGGGACAGAGGTTGAGAAAAGCTCTGTTCTCTTCTGTGATGAGGGATGAAAAGGAGCAAGAGGGCATTTACTAGCCATGTGCCAGACTCTCTTGACCAGAGGAAGAGAGGTGCCCTGTGAGGAGCAAAGAGAGGCATGAGGATGGAGCTGGCACAGGAGAAATGGGAGGAGGTGAGATGTGGGAGACTGGATGGGCAGAGCAAGGGAGGGACAGGGAAAAACTAGTCTCTGGCTCTGATAAGCTGTCATGAGTGACTTGGGCCATAGGATAGCACATTTGGGAAGCAAATGCAGGTCAGGTCTCAATGCCATGGTTTCTTTCTTTCATTTGGGTAGGATGAMTTCCTTAGCGCCAGACATCTGATTTAGGCTGTATGATAACCAGGGCAAGGAAATTCATAGCACAGCATGCATTTCTCAAGAGACTATACAAGGAGATTAAAATTGCAGATATTCAGAGGTAGTCTAAGTTCTTTGTAGACTGGCCAAACCACAAGCTATGCGATTCCCAGCTCAGGTTGTGCTGTTCAGAACCATGTCTCTGGCATAGCTGTGCAGATAAACAGCAACAGTCTTTCACTAACCCATATGAAAACAGCAGGGAAAGCAATCTGGTGCCTTTCTAAATCACCTCAGCAAATGACAGTGTTGCCAGAGGTTTATTCATCTGCTCATGCTTGYTGAGGGCTGGTGGGGCAAGGCAGCCAAACTGGAAAGCCTGGTATTGCACAGAACGAGAGCTGTGGTTCTGGAGACTGGGCAAATCGATACTTCCTCCCCCTCCCTCTTCTCTGCAGCTAGTGCTGGACAAATACGTATTTGTCTTTCCAAGGAATTCCCCTTGCTGATGAGTGTTTCGAGATCACTCCCGCGAAAACTATCCCAAGACTTGCTGTTGTCGTCTCCAGCCTCAGACCGGGACGGCTACGGGCATAACTGTGCCTGAAACCAGAAGGAAATGAGCTGTCTCCTCACTTACTTTAGAAGTAAAGTTCCTCGCACGGGAGCAGAAGATATGAGAAGGCAGAGCTCTGAGCGGGAGCAGGAGGATATTGAATTACAAAGAGAAGAGGTTGACGGGGAGGAAAGGGAGGCTGATCACAATGAGCCTCTAAATTCACAAGCGGCTGCGACACAAAAGGTAGGAATTTCGGTTACTCAATGCTTATGGAGCTGTTGGGAAATATTATACAGCAAATGAAGTGACTCCCTCACGGGAACACGCTGTGAGACTGTTAGTTGTTTGAATGAAGGAGAAAGGCTGCTCACTTGAAAGTAAATGTTGGAGGTGTTAGATGTATTTATTTTCCTCCTTTTTTATTTTGAGCATTTTTCTTTTTTTTTGTGTGTGTGTTGGTTATTTGTGAACTTTAACCCAATAAATGAAGTTATTTTTAGTAGTCCTGAGTTTTACTTTCTTTTGCTATGTATTAGTGGGAGCCAGCTCAAAACTAGAAAGGGGAAATGTTAAAACCTGTATATAAATAGGTTTTGTCTGAGAACAAATGAATTGGAAAACGGGATGCCCTGCAGCAGACCTTTTTAAGACATGTCAGTGTCTCTTTCTCGTTGCCGGGTAATTTGTGGGTGCTGACAATTACGAATTTGTATGAACAGATCACACATAAACCTCAGTTAATGTGGCACCTAGCATTTACCTTAGCTTGAAGCTATGGAACAGAGTAAAGTCGGCAGAGGAACGGTGTTTAGCTAACAGGTGACTGTGCTACAGTGATCTTGACTTGATTAAAGGCAGAAGGAMAAGCTGTAGCAGGCTCCATGACACTAGACCTCCTCACAGGCTGATTCATTCCCCAGGAAAAGCAAATACCGAGTCCTTGCCATGCTGCAAGGGGGTGGCCAGGGGAAGGTTACTTCTCCTCCGGTTTGGTGGGCTGGACTAGCTCGCTGAAAGCCACACGAGTGCTGAAGGAATGCAAGGAGGAATAAGATAGGGAGTGGAGTAGACACAGAGGTCAGCTGTGTCAGCTTGGCTCTCTTGAGAAACTTTAACTTTCGATTCAGAGCCTTCCTTTTCCTAGAACTCTTCGCTGKGGCTCTCTTTCTGCTGCTGATTCCGGTGTTTGGCTTCGTATCCCATAAGTATTGCTGGAAAATTGTTATGCTCTGCTTTGTGCTAGGACAGAAAATTAATAATGACCACCTTGTCCAGTGGAGAGTTTTTCCCTGCTGCTCATTCCCAGCAGCCTCACCATGTAGTGAGCAATGTCCAGACGGTGTTGGCCAGCTAGGAGAGGAAAGTTTAAAGAGCTGGATGTTTCCTTGAAACCAACTCACTTTGCTTGACTAAAAATTGAGTTTTTGTGAGGGTCTGAGTATGTTGACGGTATTCCCAGTAGAAATTTGKGCTTGATAACTGCCTATATCAGCTTGTAATATGATAGCTGATCTCATAGTTGTACTTTGGCCAGGAGTTAGTGTTCCTGCCAGATGCAAAATGATATGCTAGTGTTAAATACTAAACTGAGTGTTCATTCCTCCAATACATTAAAAAAGAATATCAAATACATCAGCAAATGCACACTGTAAGATAAACCATATTCAGCCAGTTGTTGATCATTCTCCACCAACGCAGAGTTGTACATGCAGGTGTGTCTGTAGAGAGCACTTGGAGGCTTCATTTTTTTCCTCCACTCCTTTAGAAATGATGCTTCTGGGATATTTAGGTGTCTCTTCTTTTTCTGTGCCTCTGTCACCAGTCCAAAAACCTGCTGGTGAACTTCASTTAAATTCAGAAAAAAAGTTCTCCACAAAAATTATTAGGTTCTTAGAAAGTTCAAATACTAAAAGAAAGTAATCTGAATTAAGGCCCGCAGCTATTAAGCTGTTTCCTTTTATTCTGCATGTGTGTGGCCCTGACAATTCACACAGTGTTCTTTTCCATGCCTGAAACTGATTTCAGAAAGGTCATAGAGTCAATAGAGAGATTATGTCAGAATTTACAGTAGGTGTGGAGAAGAGGGGGTAATCAAGGCAGGATGGGCTACTTTTGTAATAATTCTAGTCCTTCATTCAGTCTTCTGTTTCTTGTTTGTGTTGTTGTGCCATTTAAGTGTATTTCTAAAATTGATTGTGCTGGAGTGGGTAACTAATAAAAGATTAATTCTTACCTCGGCCTCAAATCTTATAAAAAATTAAATGAAAGGCAGGAATTGTCCTTGCTCCATTATATGAACAGGCCTGCATGCACAATTTCTCTTGAAAATTTCTTTATGATCTCCTAGCAGTTGTAAGATTTGTGGTAAAAATTCTAGTAAATGCTCAAAGTCATCTTCAAATATTCAACATTTTAAAGAAAAAGGCAGAATGTTCCTTAATGCAATAACATTTAAGGAGTAGCACTCTACTTGCATTGGGTGGTATTATCAATGCCACTGATATTATCGATACTACTGAGGCTGATAATCTGGAAATTCTGGAATCTCTATTTTGGAAAGGCCTCCACCCACACTTTTTGCTGGAAAAGGTGGCAAGCCTCAAAAGGACAGCTTGTGGACAAAATAAAATAAATACAAAAAGAAAAGAAATTAGATTTAATTCAAAGAAATTTTAAAACTCTGAAAGTACCTTTGTAGCACCTTAGCTTTATGGTTGATTCAAGAGTTAGAAATTCTGTATAAGTAGGGAATTAAATGGGTCACTTTCAAGTACTTGACTCCCTGTCAATGTCCACTGTATTCTGCAGGCCTGCATTCCCATGCACAACAGTACTTATGGATCCTGATTAAGCAGGATCCTTTGATGTAGGACACTGCTCAACAATGAGACCATTCCTCTGTTTATTTTGGTTGGTTGGTTTGGTTGTTTTTTAAAATTTTTCTTTGTTTTTAAATGTGAGAGTAGAGACATGTTTGAATAATATCTCCCTGCCTTATGTTATCATAATGTTATCTTAACATTCACTTTTTTTCTTTTTAACTAGAACAGAGATCACTGGAAATCGTGCAGCAATGTCGTTTTCTGGAAATGTAAACTATGGATGCTCATAGCCACAATTTTCATAGTGCTCCTCCTGGTAATTCTTATCAGCCTAGTTCTCTATTCTAGTAAGTATCCTCCTCTTGGTTCATCTTCCAGTGTAAATGGGAATGATAGCATCCTTTAAATTCCTGCAAGCTGACTGCTGCTGGCTTGGATGCTGACTGCAGAAGGTGGATTGTGCATTGAGTGGTGGATGCATGGTAGATTTTCAGTGCCGTTATAAGAAGATCCCTAGGGTTAGAACAGTTTAGATGCCAGGTTACTACATTATTTTTGATTGCCTGTTAGTCCCTGTCAGTGTAATGGCTCACTGCTGACRTGGTTGTGATGGCCAGATGAAGTACTCGGCCTTAGCTGTGTGTACACCTGTGGGGCTGTTTGGGTAGGCATGCACCTCCACATGCTTTTGTTTCAGCAGACATCTGCCAGATTCATGGATGAGGGATCTCTGTGTGATGTTACATTTCTTTAAGTAACTGGCATTTTTTCTCTGTCACTTCTAGACTATCATTGCTTAGGAAATTTGTGAGAAAGCCACTCTAGAGAAAGCCAAGAAGGTATTTTTCCTATTTCTACTGACGACAACTTTTCGTCTCTTTCTGTCTCTTTTTGAATATTAGATATTTATACAGATGAAGATGACTATTGGGATCCTGATGCAATACTACACAGTGGAAACTACCGTAGTTTTTCTGGAAAATTCAGTTTGAAGTGTGGTCTTCCATACACTTTCTCTGAAGACATCACTAAGAGGGTATGTGTTGACAGGGTTCCTGGAAAAGATAACTCTGCTTGTAACAAGGCTTGATTATTTTTCTCTTTAAGAAATTTCTGTTATTTTGTACAGCAAATGAGTCATTTGCAAGCTCACACAATTTACAAAAACAAGGTTACATTCTGAGCTTTGTTTTTTCCAACACAAATTAAAATCCTGATTTGGGGGAAAAAATGCTTCTTTTTAAGCACATGAGTAGCTGCAGAGCTTTAAAAAGTTTGAAGTTTTGCCTAAATGTTAATAATCACTGAGAATTAGTCTTCACTTTTTTCCCAGAGTGTTCTGTTTAGAAGGAACCTGTGGAGTCATCTAGCCTAATCTCTGTGTATTGTTTTCCCACAAATGTGTGATGATGAGCTGATTTAATGCTATCATTTCCGTTGAGTCACCATGGCTCTGAATACAGCTGAAGTAAGCTCAGCAGGCATGGCAGGACTGGTTTAGACTTACTGTGAAAGGAGACCCTTCCTTCTATGAAGTAACAGTAGAAGGGCTTTCTGGTACCAATAAATAAATTGGATTTGGCAGCTTAATCACATACTCCTAGTTTGCCGTGACTGACTCTATTGTGTTAAGGTAATATAGTAATCACTCCGATACAGAGGTTAACTTGTCTGTCAGGCTCAAAGGGCCCGTGTGTGTACCTTTTCCAGGACAGATATTTGTTGGTATTTGACATTCAACACCTGTGCTTATGCCCTGGGCAACACCCTAAAAGAATGATTCACTGCCCTTTCTTTGGTGTGGAAAAGAAATAGCGAATAGAAGAAATATATACTTTTTTTTTCTTTTCCTTTTTTCTCTCCAAGTTAACAGAAGTCTATAGTTCGTCTCCTGCTTTAGGACGCTACTTTAGGTCAGCTCAAGTGATGAATTTCAGGTAAGTGGTTTCTATCATWAAAAATATCTGATATTTATAAATTTTTGATAGGGAATATATATGTGCCTATATAAGACAAGGCATTTAAATCTAAAAAAAAAAGGATGTTTTGGGGTGGAATAATTAATATAGATTGTGAAAACTGGTAGAAGTATTCTCTAGTGTAAAGGGAAAGCACTGCCAATAACAAATAATTACAGTAACATTTTTGACTGTTAATCTGCTGTACTTGGTCCCAGTCCTTACTGATATAATTAAGGAAATTTATTTAAAAGAAAATAGGCCACTGGAACCACTTGAGAGCAATATAGCTTAAACCATCTTAACTAAATACAAAAGTGTCTCTGGGGTAGGGGCATGCAGAATAGTTCATTTTGTTCCCAAAAGAGCTTAAAGGCAACAAGGACCGGCAAAATGTGAAAGCCAAAACCACAATATTGCATTGCTCATTTGGATTTTTTTTGTCCTTCACTGTGTTTTGGGAAACAGGAGCCAATCTCAAAGCTGTAGAGAGGCTGGAAGGGCAGAAGTGAGAGGCAGAGAAGAAGGCAAATCTTAGACTTGCCCGGGTGAGAGGTGACTATATGCGTAGGAGAAGCTTGGCTGATGGGAACAGGAGAGGAGTGGTGATAGAAAGAAAGTGAAAAGCCATCCATCTACCTTAAAGAGTCAAGGAAAAGCTTCACCCTAGAGCTGAAGGAAGATCTTACTCTCAGTAGATAATGGTACTAGAGAAGGGCTTACGAGTTTAGGACACTAGTGTTTTAGGCTATGGAGCTATCAGAGTCCTGCGATGAAAGGGGAGGCTGAGCTGAAGAGAGAAATGAGGGGCTGGAAAGCTCAGCTCTAGCCTGCTCTTGCCACAGAACGATTTCAGAGAAACAAGGACTGACAGCTWCTCCAGGAGTTTATGAAAAAGCAATGTGAAAAAGGCAATAAGAAGGACTGGAAATCATTGTGACTGAGAAATCAAGTTGAGATTTTTGAAAGTCTGAGTACTTGAGAGAGGGTAGAAAGAGAGGCCCCATGGGCTGGGATGAGGGGCTGTCCTGAGGGTACTTTGGTGAAGGTGCTCTAATGAATCACCAAACTAGGATATAACTGCCCTGTCAAATGACTGTGTTGTAACAGTATTTCAGCTAAAAATTATGATTTAGGACGTTAAATACAAATCTGTAGTTCTGCAAATGTATTGCATAACTCTTCTTTYTCTCTCTCCCTTTCTCCCTTTACCCCTTCTCTTTCTGTTTTTGACTTTCCAACTTCTTTTTGATGTTTCTGTTGAAATGTCAATGTTTCTGATTCTTTTTGAAAGATTCTGTTAGATAAAATGCGAAGATCTAATTATAGGTAGTGTTTTTGATAGATAGGAAGCAATGAAATGATGAAATGGACTCTAGTCGAGTGGTTTACATAATCCGCCCCAGGAAGTGGGTTAGAAACCCTGGCTGGGTTGTGTCAGCTATTGGTTATCAGGAGACCAAATCTTCTGGCAAGTTCTCAACTGGTTATGAACAGAGTCTTGTGTCACCTCTGCTGTTATTGTTGTGTTCTCATTAAGAACAAATGTAGAAAACCCTGGCCTATCAGGTATGTAGTCAGCTGTACTTTGTGCATTTGAAAATGTGTTTCAGATTGGCTTCAGGTGTGTGTCCAGCTTTCATTGATAACGACAGCTGCTCTGAGAAAGAAGTGAAAGAAGAACCYGGAAGCTTGAAGGCTTTTCTCTTTTTTTCATAGAACAGGTTTAAAAAAAACAAGTGCCAACATTTCTATCAAAAGTGTTTCAAAGCTTACTTGCACATGTTCATACCTGAATGTTTCTCTTTCAGTAATGAAAGTGCTACTGTATTTTATCAGCTGGAGTTCTCTGTACCACCATCAACAGAGGGGTTTATGGAAAATGTAATGAATCCAGASTTTATAAGGAACATTTTGCGTCAAAATATTTATGATGAAGAAGATACTGTTCATCATGGGACAACTGAATGTACAAAGCTAAAGCTTGATCCAGCTTCTCTTACATTAACATGTAAGTGCTGTGCATTAGAGGGACGACTCCTCTTCAGGGAGAACTATTTACTTAGAGAGATTTTTTTTTTTTTTCAGAAATACAYYAAGAAAATTGWGGAATATTCAGGAAATGYTTAAATTKCCATGTTTAGATTTTACCCTAGGATTCTTTCTCATCTGATGATAAGAGGATTCATGATGAGAACTGTTTAGCTATCACATCACAGTACAGAATATATAAGCAGTATTTGTGCTTAGCTCATTTTTACTTTTTCAGTACTTAGCAAGGAGCAGGAGAKCAATAGATCTCAAGTTACAATGCTCAGCATTGTTTTGTTCCTCAATTATTGACAGRGTTCACAGGAAAAGAAAACAATGTAAAGGGGACAGGAAAAAATATGCTGAAGTGTCAAACTGAAGTTTCATTTCAATGCTAATAATGTATTCTTTTTACCTTTCAGAGGAATGATGGAAAGACTCCTCTTCTCCCTTGAATGCTTGAGAATGCCTTCACAGGTCTACCAGTAATGTAAAGGGTTAGGAGCTATTCATTACACAGAAACACTTCTAATGATGTTGATGCTCTGTAAATTCTGTGTGATGCAGTATGGTAAGCTGAAAATGTGGTATATTTATAACAGTGTTGTAGAACTATAACATTACTACCTCCTTGACTACCATTGTCCTGATATATCAATAACCTGTTTTGACTTGCTTTTGTGAAAATCATGTGTCATGCTTGGTACATGCTCCATTGACTTTGACTTGTGTTATGAATTAGTTYTGCATTCCTTGCACTTGCTTTAAGAGCATTCTTGCATGCCTTTCCATTCTGTTCTTTCTTTATYCAAAGTTAGCTGCACTGCTTTATCCTTCATACTCATATCCACCTATCCTCAGGTCAGTGGTGTTTTTCCCTTTGTTTTTTCCTGTCAGAGCAATGTGGGAACTTAAATGCCTCTTTTATTTTCCTTAGTTACATGGAAGCCCTTTGCACTATCTTCTTAAGTGAACTGGGAAACTCACCATCCCCTTGTTCACCATACATATATATATACATATATATATCTACATATATATATATGTATATGTATGTATGTATAACTGACCAGTTATTCCTCTTTCATAATGTGAAATAGAAATGTTCCAAGGGTCCATTGTCAACGTGTTACATAGTGCCCTGCAGATAGGTGTGGATTCTTGGTCTTGGCAAAGTYCTGTTGCACTTGCATGCAAGAATATTTCTGATGAATGGAAAACTCAGTGGTGCTGTTTGTACAGCCAGGTAAAGGGCCTCTGGCACAGAGCTAGTAAATTTATTTAAAGTGATTACAGCAATGCCATGGATAAGAGGTATATTGCTCCCTAATGCATCTGAATAATGTCTGGGGAATCTTTCCAAGGTCAAATAAGCTGCATACTTCAACAGCTGGCTACTGTTAGTCACGGATACCTGGGAAAAGACAGCTATATGACCTGCATTTATAAATACACAGACAAATTAATTTAGACTCAAGTATACGTCTTGCCTCAGCAGCAGGGTTAAAAATGAACAGATGCAAGATTTTTGCCTTAATAAGGCAGCAAATACTAGTTCTAGTTAATAAGAGATTGAGCAAATGGACCAATGCTAAGAGAAAGGTGCTGAGGCATATCATATAGGCCAGTGTGGCATGATAGTCACGGGCAGTAACACCAACATCTACGATGCAGCTTTACTAGAAATGTGATGAATTCACTATTGTACTAGTGAAATATAACTCCTTGTTATGAATGAATTGTTTGAATTTGTAACTGTAAACATGTATAGCCATTGTAAATGCTAATACTGTTGGACAGAGACATTTATTTTAAGAAGCCTTTTGTATTATCTCAGAAAATAGTTTATGGGAAATTGTATTTCTGTTTTTTTTATGTTATTACTGTATTTAAGAACTAATCTGATAATTATACTATGCATTAAATTATTTCTTTTTTTACTCTTATGCCATCATTTTCATTCTTTCAGTAGCTCCAATACAGCAATACATTCAAAACTATATTTACTGTAGTATTTACTGTAGCTTGAGTTGTAATTGAGCTTGGGGAATAGTCTAGACCAAATTAGTGGATCACACGGATCCTATACTTGCAGCTGATTCTCATAACACTTCGATCTGTGAGATGCAATGGTAACTCCAAAAAAAGCATCTTCTCTTTTCATGGCTCAGTTCTTATTTGATGACCTAGTATCATTAAACATTTAAGGACATCATTTCTGTATGTTTTTGAATAAYAGAGTTGCAAACATTGTGCCTACTGCAGCCCATATAGCAAAAAATCAAAGGAGATTTTTTTAATGATTCTTTCCTGGCAAAGATAATACTAACCCAGGTGTATGATCACTCCACAGAGTAGTAGGCTATAAAAATACATTCAGCAAATGAACAGTTTACCTTTGAGATGTTGCTTGATCCTACTGTTATTTTTTTCTAAGATGCCTGAATCTGTCCTTGAACACTTCTTAAACTTGGTTCAAAATCAAGGAACTGAAAAATAATACCATCATCATTGCTTTTTTCTATGGTGATACCTCAGCATGCAGCATGAGCCTTGAGGAAGAGAAGAGAAGCTGCCAAGCATTCACTTCCTTACAGCCATCCTCCTCTAACACATCACCTTCACCCCAGAGTTTGCTGGAAAGAAAAGGGAGGAGCTGTAGCAAGATATTGTAATAGTCAACACAGAGTGTCCAACTTGACCCTCTACCTCCAGTTACGCTTTCAGTTCTGATTGCAGGAAAAGAGAAGGAAAAGAAAAAGGTGGGGGGGGATGCAAGTTGGTCATGGGTTTCCCTTTTTCCCCTACATTGCCAGATGTATTAGACCATGCAAAAAGACAGTAGACAGTAGACCATAGAGTAGAGTAAAAATACATTATTCTGTCAAATTAGATGTTTTGTAAATGTTTAATGTCCATTTTATTTTAAGGAGGTTGAGTTATATATAGATGACTGAGGCAATGGAATGACAAAATAAAAAGTTAGTTCTGATGGTTAAGCTTGTGGACTGTGCAAGCAACTCTAAAATTTCATGGCAGATGGTCTTATCTGTAGCTCCATCTCCTATTACAAATTTGAGCTCTCCTTAACACTACTTTCCAAGTCCTTCTAATAGAAAAATGAGGGCCAAAAAGCATGCTTTAGCAAGAACACAGGCACATAATCACTTTACTGACTTTATTGAACAGCTAATATATTTAGTATCTCTCAAAATGTTGCTTTTCAGAGGTTGTGAGGAGGTATGTTCTGATGTGGCATAAAACCAAATCTGAGATGCCAAGGTGGCGATGAACTGGAAGTGTTATGTGGCAATGTAGGCACCTCGGGCTCCTCTACTAAGACAGCAGTGCTACTATAGCACAATATGAGAAATGACCTAATTATATTAGCTGTACCGTATCATTGCAATCACACAAGCAGGCCAGAGGAACTCTGAAGGAGATACAGTAGTCTTATGTACAGAGTATGTGAGCTTTTAAATTGCAAAGCAATATATATAAATCCAAGGGTATTTTCATTGCATTAGTGAGATTCCTACCGAAAATTTTAAGCCTTAAAATGAGACATCGGCRTTTACACTGATTCTTCTTGATTTACTTGTTAAGTGGAGCCTGGTACTCTGTCCATGTCTTTCATGTACAAATTTGTCCCATTGAAACTGACTGGCACATTTGTCTTAGTGCGTAACCTTTGTGAGATGCAAGAGATGCTCTCCAGTTTGMTTGAAAACCTGACATAGCAGTTARGATGGTGGAAAGGCTGTACGCTYCTGGCTTAAGTAGTCAAACGAAAGGATCCTTTGCAGTAGGAAGTACCACTTTTTAGTTTACAGTACATAATCATATTCATTGTTGTCTTCAGAGGTGGTGATGGCTTGCTTTTCCTTAGGCATGTTGACCATTACATATTCTATCTGATCATTGGTATTAGCTGCAGAGGTTTCATATTTCACATTGTGGGTGATGGTGGAATACCACAGGTCATTGGTATTCATGTAATCTTTTCCCTCAAGATTCTCCTGATAGAGAGAAAGAGGGAAGGAGAGAGAGGGAAACAGGTCAGCTTTAACATTTTTATATCCTCTTGCTGAAGAAGCTTGCAGTGTGAGCATATGTGGTGGTCATATAAGTCTGTGTACTCATACAGCAGTATTACTTGGTGCACCATAGTACTAAAACTGTTTGCAAAGCTGCAGTAGTTTCATTCTCATGCTGGACACGCAGGAGCACCCGCAGTGCCTGCAGTCCCACCAGCTGGAGGAGGGAGGGCCTCACCCTGGTTCTGAGATTGGTCTTRGTAAGTGTTGTTTGAGTGTTGATAGGCTCATCTCCACATGCAAAAAGGAGCACAGAGAAACAAGGGAAGCTTTAGGAACTCAAATATTCCCCTGCCTTGGCTCCTTCTGGGCTCAGCACAGGAGAGCTGTGGGCCCCATGGACCAGGTGTGAGATGGCCTGAAAGCCAGGAGAGCAGTGCTGTGGCGCYTGAGAGATCGAGGAGGTCACTGCCTACATGTGTGGGACTGGGGTTTGACTGAGATGCATTTGAGTGTGTGAGTGTGTGTGCATGCATGTGTGTCCCTGTGAAGAAGGCCACAGGGAGCACAAGGAACCAGAGCCAGCAGCTGAACAGACCAAGTGCTCATCTACTGGGAGGATCCACACCATGTATATGTGTGTGTGTATATATACATATATGTGTGTGTATGTGTGTACATATATATATATATTTATACTCATGGACCTTCATGCTCATGAGGGGCATGTGGCGGCCTGCTGGGGATACATGCTCCAACTTGTTGCAAGTTGGACCTTATTGAGCTGTGGCAGCCTCACCTCACCTGGGCTGCCAGGTTCAGCAACCCCTAACAAATAAGGGAGACATTTAATCCCTCTGTCCTGGCTGGGTTCTAGCTCCACCATTTCTGCTCTCGCTCCCTTTGATTTTAACTAGAAAGTGAAATGTCTGGTTTACACGCCCTTAAGCCACCATGCTCTATCACTTAACAAAGGTAACGAGGCAAGCAGTGCTTCAGAGCTGGCTCTATTCAAAGACTGCCTGTAAAGTTTCTGTCTAAAGATTGGCAATACGCTGCCTGGTGTTGCCAAGAAGGGGGCAGAAGCAGCATTTCTCCTSCTGCATCAGTGCGGGTAAGCCACACAATTTCAGGAGTCACCAGCTTCTACTGCACTGCATGASCACTGGAGTTGCTCCCGCCCATTCCAATGCCTACATATTCCCAAGTCTTGCTCACAGTAACTATTTCCAGCTTGCTCCTAGCCAACGGATTGTTTGAATCTGTATTTAGATTGCCTTCTCTGTGAGGTGGAGAAACTGAAGTGTAGATGTGACAGGTTGACAGTGCAGGAGGAACGAGCCTGCAGACTAGAGYTTCGCTCAAGTGTTTCATCTTACACAAGCCCAGTCTAATGCTTGGGAGGAAGGGCTCTWATGTTGCATGAAAGATCTTCTCAAGACTGTTTCAAATCATGTTCTGGGGCTTTTGTGTGGGCTTGAAAACTCTCAGAACTAGACAGCTATTTGACAAATTCTGCATTATAGTTCCACACCCTCCTCTTCTCCTACTGCCCACCCCAGTCACATGTACAAATGATGAACTCATTTAATCACAGTTTTTTGTGTCATTTTGTCATTTCAAAATTTTATGCTAAACASCATTTAGCCGCAGGGCATCAACTGTTTTTTTAATGGGGTCATCTTTGGGGGGGAAAAAAAAAAAGAGAGGGAATTTGGGGTCATCTTTGAAGGATCATCAAAGATGATCCCTCATCAACAATGGGGTCATCTTTGAGGGAAAAAAAAAAGAGAGGGCTGCTAAATTGCAATGCTGTGTTCTGATCTGTGTTGAACTTCTGCTGATGGTTCATGATTAGTGACATAAGAAGCAACAGCTTACTCTCTGCTAAAATTAACTATCTTCATAGCAGAGRTAGCAAAACACAGGTGCTCAACTGTTCTCTCTCAGAGCCTATTGTCTATTAACACAAA